TCTCACACTCTCTCTCTCTCTCTCTCACACTCTCTCTCTCTCTCTCTCACACACACAAAAAAAACAAGTCGGCTGTCTCCCACTGAGGCACGGTGACCCAAAAAAGAAAGAAAATCCCGAAAAAAGAAAATACTTTCATCATCATTCAACACTTACACCACACTCACACATTATCACTGCTTTTGCAGAGGTGCTCAGAATACAGCAGTTTAGAAGCATGTATGTATAAAGATACACAACATATCCCTCCAAACTGCCACTGTCCTCATAAAAACTCTTTACAGCATTTAATAACTTACCACCTATTCCATATACTTGCAACATCTGCCACATTGCTCCTCTATCCACTCTATCATATGCCTTTTCTAAATCCATAAATGCAATAAAAACTTCCCTACCTTTATCTAAATACTGTTCACATATATGCTTCAATGTAAACACTTGATCTACACATCCCCTACCCACTCTGAAACCTCCTTGCTCATCCGCAATCCTACATTCTGTCTTACCTCTAATTCTTTCAATTATAACCCTACCATACACTTTTCCTGGTATACTCAGTAAACTTATTCCTCTATAATTTTTACAGTCTCTTTTGTCCCCTTTCCCTTTATATAAAGGGACTGTGCATGCTCTCCGCCAATCCCTAGGTACCTTCGCCTCTTTCATATATTTATTAAACAAAAGTAGTAGGTAAATTTGGGGTGCCAGGGGTAAATGTAAATGGGGAGCCTTTAATTGAGCTATGTGTAGAAAGAAATTTGGTAATAAGTAATACATATTTTATGAAAAAGAGGATAAATAAATATACAAGGTATGATGTAGCACGTAAGGAAAGTAGTTTGTTAGATTATGTATTGGTGGATAAAAGGTTGATGGGTAGGTTCCAGGATGTACATGTTTATAGAGGGGCAACTGATATATCAGATCATTATTTAGTTGTAGCTACAGTTAGAATTAGAGGTAGATGGGAAAAGAGGAAGGTGGCAACAACAAGTAAGAGGGAGGTGAAAGTGTATAAACTAAGGGAGGAGGAAGTTCGGGCGAGATATAAGCGACTATTGGTAGAAAGGTGGGCTAGTGCAAAGATGAGTAGTGGGGGGGGGGGGGTTGAAGAGGGTTGGAATAGTTTTAAAAATGCAGTATTAGAATGTGGGGCAGAAGTTTGTGTTATAGGAGGGTGGGGGCAGGAGGAAAGAGGAGTGATTGGTGGAATGATGAAGTAAAGGGTGTGATAAGAGAAAAAGGTAGCTTACGAGAGGTTTTTACAAAGCAGAAGTGTTATAAGAAGAGCAGAGTATATGGAGAGTAAAAGAAAGGTGAAGAGAGTGGTGAGAGAGTGCAAAAGGAGAGCAGATGAAAGAGTGGGAGAGGCACTGTCAAGAAATTTTAATGAAAATAAGAAAAAATTTTGGAGTGAGTTAAACAAGTTAAGAAAGCCTAGGGAAAGTATGGATTTGTCTGTTAAAAACAGAGTAGGGGAGTTAGTAGATGGGGAGAGGGAGGTATTAGGTAGATGGCGAGAATATTTTGAGGAACTTTTAAATGTTGAGGAAGAAGGAGAGGCAGTAATTTCATGCACTGGCCAGGGAGGTATACCATCTTTTAGGAGTGAAGAAGAGCAGAATGTAAGTGTGGTGGAGGTACGTGAGGCATTACGTAGAATGAAAGGGGGTAAAGCAGCTGGAACTGATGGGATCATGACAGAAATGTTAAAAGCAGGGGGGGATATAGTGTTGGAGTGGTTGGTACTTTTGTTTAATAAATGTATGAAAGAGGGGAAGATACCTAGGGATTGGCAGAGAGCATGTATAGTCCCTTTATGTAAAGGGAAAGGGGACAAAAGAGATTGTAAAAATTATAGAGGAATAAGTTTACTGAGTATACCAGGAAAAGTATACGGTAGGGTTATAATTGAAAAAATTAGAGGTAAGACAAAATGTAGAATTGCGGATGAGCAAGGAGGCTTCAGAGTGGGTAGGGGATGTGTAGATCAAGTGTTTACATTGAAGCATATATGTGAACAGTATTTAGATAAAGGTAGGGAAGTTTTTATTGCATTTATGGATTTAGAAAAGGCATATGATAGAGTGGATAGAGGAGCAATGTGGCAGATGATGCAAGTTTATGGAATAGGTGGTAAGTTACTAAATGCTGTAAAGAGCTTTTATGAGGATAGTGAGGCTCAGGTTAGGGTGTGTAGAAGAGAGGGAGAATACTTCCTGGTAAAAGTAGGTCTTAGACAGGGATGTGTAATGTCACCATGGTTGTTTAATATATTTATAGATGGGGTTGTAAAAGAAGTAAATGCTAGGGTGTTCGGGAGAAGGGTGGGATTAAATTATGGGGAATCAAATTCAAATGGGAATTGACAGTTACTTTTTGCTGATGATACTGTACTTATGAGGGATTCTAAAGAAAAATTGCAAAGGTTAGTGGATGAGTTTGAGAATGTGTGTAAAGGTAGAAAGTTGAAAGTGAACATAGAAAAGAGTAAGGTGATGAGGGTGTCAAATGATTTAGATAAAGAAAAATTGGATATCAAATTGGGGAGGAGGAGTATGGAAGAAGTGAATGTTTTCAGATACTTGGGAGTTGACGTGTCGGCAGATGGATTTATGAAGGATGAGGTTAATCATAGAATTGATGAGGGAAAAAAGGCGAGTGGTGCGTTGAGGTATATGTGGAGTCAAAAAACGTTATCTATGGAGGCAAAGAAGGGAATGTATGAAAGTATAGTAGTACCAACACTCTCATATGGATGTGAAGCTTGGGTGGTAAATGCAGCAGCGAGGAGACGGTTGGAGGCAGTGGAGATGTCCTGTCTAAGGGCAGTGTGTGGTGTAAATATTATGCAGAAAATTCGGAGTGTGGAAATTAGGAGAAGGTGTGGAGTTAATAAAAGCATTAGTCAGAGGGCAGAAGAAGGGTTGTTGAGGTGGTTTGGTAATTTGGAGAGAATGGATCAAAGTAGAATGACATGGAAAGCATATAAATCTATAGGGGAAGGAAAGAGGGGTAGGGGTCGTCCTCGAAAGGGTTGGAAGAGGGGGTTAAAGGAGGTTTTGTGGGCGAGGGGCTTGGACTTCCAGCAAGCGTGCACGAGCGTGTTAGATAGGAGTGAATGAAGACGAATGGTACTTGGGACCTGACGATCTGTTGGAGTGTGAGCAGGGTAATATTTAGTGAAGGGATTCAGGGAAACCGGTTATTTTCTTATAGTCGGACTTGAGTCCTGGAAATTGGAAGTACAATGCCTGCACTTTAAAGGAGGGGTTTGGGATATTGGCAGTTTGGAGGGATATGTTGTGTATCTTTATACGTATATGCTTCTAAACTGTTGTATTCTGAGCACCTCTGCAAAAGCAGTGATAATGTGTGAGTGTGGTGAAAGTGTTGAATGATGATGAAAGTATTTTCTTTTTGGGGATTTTCTTTCTTTTTTGGGTCACCCTGCCTCGGTGGGAGACGACCGACTTGTTGAAAAAAAAAAAAAAAAAAAAAAAGTACCAACCACTCCAACACTATATCCCCCCTTGCTTTTAACATTTCTGTCATGATCCCATCAGTTCCAGCTGCTTTACCCCCTTTCATTCTATGTAATGCCTCACGTACCTCCCCCACACTTACATTCTGCTCTTCTTCACTCCTAAAAGGTTGGTATACCTCCCTGGCCAGTGCTTGAAATTACCGCCTCCCTTTCTTCCTCAACATTTAAAAGTTCCTCAAAATATTCTCGCCATCTACCTAATACCTCCATCTCCCCATCTACTAACTCCCCTACTCTGTTTTTAACTGACAAATCCATACTTTCCCTAGGCTTTCTTAACTTGTTTAACTCACTCCAAAATTTTTTCTTATTTTCATTAAAATTTCTTGACAGTGCCTCTCCCACTTTATCATCTGCTCTCCTTTTGCACTCTCACCACTCTCTTTACCTTTCTTGTACTCTCCATATACTCTACTCTTCTTATAACACTTCTGCTTTGTAAAAACCTCTCATAAGCTACCTTTTTCTCTTTAATCACACCCTTTACTTCATCATTCCACCAATCACTCCTCTTTCCTCCTGCCCCCACCCTCCTATAACCACAAACTTCTGCCCCACATTCTAATACTGCATTTTTAAAACTATTCCAACCCTCTTCAACTCCCCCACTACTCATCTTTGCACTAGCCTACCTTTCTGCCAATAGTCACTTATATCTCGCCCGAACTTCCTCCTCCCTTAGTTTATACACTTTCACCTCCCTCTTACTTGTTGTTGCCACCTTCCTCTTTTCCCATCTACCTCTTACTCTAACTGTAGCTACAACTAAATAATGATCCTATATATCAGTTGCCCCTCTATAAACATGTACATCCTGGAGCCTACCCATCAACCTTTTATCCATTAATACATATTCTAATAAACTACTTTCATTACGTGCTCCATCATACCTTGTATATTTATTTATCCTCTTTTTCATAAAATATTTATTACTTATTACCAAATCTCTCTCTACACATCTCAATTAAAGGCTCCCCATTTACATTTACCCCTGGCACCCCAAATTTACCTACTACTACCTCTATAACATTTTTACCCACTTTAGCATTGAAATCCCCACCCACCATTACTCTCACACTTGATTCAAAACTCCCCACGCATTCACTCAACATTTCCCAGAATCTCTGTCTCCTCTACACTTCTCTCTTCTCCAGGTGCATACACGCTTATTATAACCCACTTTTTACATCCAATCTTTATTTTACTCCACATAATCCTTGAATTAATACATTTATAGTCCCTCTTTTCCTGCCATAGCTTATCCTTCAACATTATTGCTACTCCTTCTTTAGCTCTAAACTGTATTTGAAACCCCTGACCTAATCCCATTTATTCCTCTCCTCATATAAGTATATAGTACAATTTATTAATGTCATTGTACAAAACAGGAAATTTTATTTGAGTTTTCGTTAATTTAATGAAATGTCTTTTTGATCTTCATAATTAACAGTGTTCACTGTTGAGCTGGTGGGCAAGCAGGTCAAAGTTTCAACGGATATGGCTATCTTCATCACCATGAACCCTGGCTATGCTGGCCGTTCGAACCTACCTGATAATCTGAAGAAGCTGTTCCGTTCCCTGGCAATGACCAAACCTGACCGACAGCTTATTGCTGAGGTCATGCTCTTCAGTCAGGGCTTCAGATCAGCCGAAAAGCTTGCTAGCAAAATTGTTCCTTTCTTTAAGTAAGTAATATTAAATAGTTTTGTTAGTTATATATGTACAGTATATTTGTTATTGAATTCTTGTCTTCTGTATCTATTTTTTTCTCATTTGTTTTTTTGCTGCTTTTCTATTATGTTTTTTCTTATTTTTTCTCCCTCCCTCTTTCTTCAAAATTTTGTTTCTTGTTTTTCACTGATGATCTCTCTCTATAATACTCAGGCTATGTGATGAGCAGCTATCCAATCAGTCTCACTATGATTTTGGTTTGCGAGCCTTGAAATCTGTGCTTGTGTCTGCTGGTAATGTTAAACGTGACCGTATTCAGCGAATCAAGGAGGGTTTGAGGAGTCGTGAAGATGCACTTATTGATGAGGGAACTATAGCAGAGAACCTTCCTGAGCAAGAGGTGTGTGTTAAGCAGTTTTGTTAATCATAAATTTTGTTTGTATTGTTTTCTCCTTTTGTAATGTTATAAGATTACTGTATAACCCTTGCCTTAAATATCAGTGTATGATAAAACTCATTTGGCATTCCTCCAACAGATTTTGATTCAGAGTGTATGTGAGACCATGGTTCCAAAGCTTGTAGCAGAGGACATACCATTGCTATTCTCTCTACTGTCAGATGTATTCCCAGGCATTGAGTATACTCGTGCACAGATGACTGGACTAAAGGATGAGATTAGGAAGGCAAGTATTGTATGATTTAATTATAGAAACTAGTTTGAAAGGCTGTTTAACTTTTTTTTTACCTCTATGGCTCTCTTGCCAAGGCATGACCTATTAAATTTTTTTTTTTATTAACACTTCGGCCATTTCCCACCAAGGCAGGGTTGCCCAAAAAAGAAAAACTTTCATCATCATTCACTCCATCACTGTCTTGTCAGAGGCATGCTTACACTATGGTTATAAAAGTCCAATATTAACACCCCTCCTTCAGAGTGCCGGCACTGCTTCTCATCTCCAGGAATCAAGTCTGGCCTGCCAGTTTCCCTGAATCCCTTCATAAATGTTGCCTTGCCTACACTCCAGCAGCACATAAAGTCCTGAAAGCCATTTGTCTCCATTTGCTCCTAACACACTCATGCACTCTTGCTGGAAGTCCAAGCCCCTTGCGCACACAGCCTTTATCTCCTCCCTCCAACTTTTCCTAGGCCGACCCCTACCCCGCCTTCCCTCCACGACAGATTTATACACTTGAAGTCATTCTATTTTGTTCCATCCTCTCTACACGTCCAAACCATCTCAATAACCCCTCCTCAGCCTTCTGGATAATAGGTTTGGTAATCCCGCACCTCCTCCTAATCTCCAAACTATGGATTCTCTGCATTATATTCACACCACACATCGGCCTCAGACATGACATCTCCACTGCCTTCAACCTTCTCCTTGTTGCAATATTCACAACTCGTGCCTCACACCCATACAGGAGCATTGGTATAACTATGTTCTCATACATTCCTCTCTTTGCTTCATTAAATTCAGAGGTTAGTACTGAGTAACATTTCAAGATGTGCCATCCATGTAGTTCAAGGAGCAATGAGATTCTAAGACATTGAAACTTGTTAATTTCACTCCAGGTGTGTGCTGAACAGTTCCTGATCTGTGGAGAAGGAGAAGAACAAGGAGCTCATTGGATGGAGAAGGTATGTTACAATTCTTGGAAATCTTTTGACTAATAAATGTTTGATTAGCCCTGTTTAAAATATCACAGCAGTATCAGAAGATTAATAATTCAGTATTAATCCAAAAGGTAGTGGAATGAAATTCTACGAGGAGAGATGCAGTTTTATTAATTTTATTTTATGTAGCAGTTCGAACTATTTACATTTGATAATGAACGTTAATTTAATTACCTTCCAGATATGCCTTTCAAGATTTTTTTTTTAAGTTATTAGACCATGATTTGGTTGGTTACTACCCCTCATCAGTGTTAACAATTTAATCATAAAATTTATTTTTTATATATATAGACAAAGCACAGATATTAAGTACGATTTGATGAATACTAAGCATAAAATGATCACACACCCTCATCTTTTGCATTCAAAGAATGCATGCCACGGTTCTTATTTTAATGCTGGTATTGCTTAAACACTGTTGGTCTCCCAAACAGTGGTTAGTAAAACCAGTGGTAACAAAAAAGTTATCTGAAACCTTTCATTCTTTGACTTGCAAAATGAGAGATGCGTTTTAATAATGTTTTCTTCTTTGGGCCACCTTGCCTTGGTGGGAGACTGCTATTGTGTTAAAAAAAAATAGAAGCAGTAGCATTGTTGGGAAATATTCGTTACTTAGTTTTACAGAATAATGCGTTTCCAACTCCAAATTTTAAGACAGGTACTATCCCTATAATATTTGTGTATTAGCAATATGATAAACATTACTTAGGGTTCACACAATCGTAATGACACGATTGCAAACAAACCATAGTACGGGTGGGGATTGAACTCGTGGCGAGCGAGTCATAAAACTCCAGGCCAGTGCATAAGCCACTGGGCCAGCTGGCTAGAGTAAGATTCATCCAGCTAGGTATATTTATACACCCTAGGTATATAGGTATGAGCGGAGACGAATGGTTTTTGGGACCTGACGAGCTGTTGGAGTGTGAGCAGGGTAATATTAGTGAAGGTATTCAGGGAAACTGGCTATTTTTATATAGCCGGACTTGAGTTCTGGAAATGGGAAGTGCAATGCCTGCACTTTAAAGGAGGGGTTTGAGATATTGGCAGTTTGGAAGGATGTGTAATAGGACAGTATATATATAATTGGGGCCCTGATATTATATTCTATATGGAGTTATATTATTTCAGGTCACTTTTTATATTATATCTTTATATATGCGTGTATGCACCTGGAGAAGAGAGGAATGTAGAGGAGAGAGAGAGATTTTGGGAGATGTTAAGTGAATGTATAGGAGCCTTTGAACCAAGTGAGAGAATAATTGTGGTAGGGGACCTGAATGCTAAAGTAGGAGAAACTTCTAGAGAGGGTGTGGTAGGTAAGTTTGGGGTGCCAGGTGTAAATGATAATGGGAGCCCTTTGATTGAACTTTGTATAGAAAGGGGTTTAGTTATAGGTAATATATATTTTAAGAAAAAGAGGATAAATAAGTATACAAGATATGATGTAGGGCGAAATGACAGTAGTTTGTTGGATTATGTATTGGTAGATAAAAGACTGTTGAGTAGACTTCAGGATGTACATGTTTATAGAGGGGCCACAGATATATCAGATCACTTTCTAGTTGTAGCTACACTGAGAGTAAAAGGTAGATGGGATACAAGGAGAATAGAAGCATCAGGGAAGAGAGAGGTGAAGGTTTATAAACTAAAAGAGGAAGCAGTTAGGGTAAGATATAAACAGCTATTGGAGGATATATGGGCTAATAAGAGCATAGGCAATGGAGTCGAAGAGGTATGGGGTAGGTTTAAAAATGTAATGTTAGTGTTCAGCAGAAGTTTGTGGTTACAGGAAAGTGGGTGCGGGAGGGAAGAGGAGCGATTGGTGGAATGATGATGTAAAGAGAGTAGTAAGGGAGAAAAAGTTAGCATATGAGAAGTTTTTACAAAGTAGAAGTGATGCAAGGGGGGAAGAGTATATGGAGAAAGAGAGAGAGGTTAAGAGAGTGGTGAAGCAATGTAAAAAGAGAGCAAATGAGAGAGTGGGTGAGATGTTATCAACAAATTTTGTTGAAAATAAGAAAAAGTTTTGGATTGAGATTAATGAGTTAAGGAAGCCAAGAGAACAAATGGATTTGTCAGTTAAAAATAGGAGAGGAGAGTTATTAAATGGAGAGTTAGAGGTATTGGGAAGATGGAGGGAATATTTTGAGGAATTGTTAAATGTTGATGAAGATAGGGAAGCTGTGATTTCGTGTATAGGGCAAGGAGGAGTAACATCTTGTAGGAGTGAGGAAGAGCCAGTTGTGAGTGTGGGGGAAGTTCGTGAGGCAGTAGGTAAAATGAAAGTGGGTAAGGCAGCCGGGATTGATGGGATAAAGATAGAAATGTTAAAAGCAGGTGGGGATATAGTTTTGGAGTGGTTGGTGCAATTATTTAATAAATGTATGGAAGAGGGTAAGGTACCTAGGGATTGGCAGAGAGATGCATAGTTCCTTTGTATAAAGGCAAAGGGGACAAAAGAGAGTGCAAAAAATATAGGGGGATAAGTCTGTTGAGTATACCTGGTAAAGTGTATGGTAGTTATTATTGAAAGAATTAAGAGTATGACGGAGAATAGGATATCAGATGAACAAGGAGGCTTTAGGGAAGGTAGGGGGTGTGTGGACCAGGTGTTTACAGTGAAACATATAAGTGAACAGTATTTAGATAAGGCTAAAGAGGTCTTTGTGGCATTTATGGATTTGGAAAAGGCGTATGACAGGGTGGATAGGGGGGCAATGTGGCAGATGTTGCAGGTGTATGGTATAGGAGGTAGGTTACTGAAAGCAATGAAGAGTTTTTATGAGGATAGTGAGGCTCAAATTAGAGTATGTAGGAAAGAGGGAAATTATTTCCCAGTAAAAGTAGGCCTTAGACAAGGATGTGTGATGTCACCGTGGTTGTTTAATATATTTATAGATGGGGTTGTAAGAGAAGTAAATGCGAGGGTCTTGGCAAGAGGCGTGGAGTTAAAAGATAAAGAATCACACATAAAGTGGGAGTTGTCACAGTTGCTCTTTGCTGATGACACTGTGCTCTAGGGAGATTCTGAAGAGAAGTTGCAGAGATCGGTGGATGAATTTGGTAGGGTATGCAAAAGAAGAAAATTAAAAGTGAATACAGGAAAGAGTAAGGTTATGAGGATAAAAAGATTAGGTGATGAAAGATTGGATATCAGATTGGAAGGAGAGAGTATGGAGGAGGTGAATGTATTCAGATATTTGGGAGTGGACGTGTCAGCAGATGGGTCTATGAAAGATGAGGTGAATCATAGAATTGATGAGGGGAAAAGGGTGAATGGTGCACTTAGGAGTCTGTGGAAACAAAGAACTTTGTCCTTGGAGGCAAAGAGGGGAATGTATGAGAGTATAGTTTTACCAACGCTCTTATATGGGTGTGAAGCATGGGTGATGAGTGTTGCAGCGAGGAGAAGGCTGGAGGCAGTGGAGATGTCATGTCTGAGGGCAATGTGTGGTGTGAATATAATGCAGAGAATTGGTAGTTTGGAAGTTAGGAGGAGGTGCGGGATTACCAAAACTGTTGTCCAGAGGGCTGAGGAAGGGTTGTTGAGGTGGTTCGGACATGTAGAGAGAATGGAGCGAAACATAATGACTTCAAGAGTGTATCAATCTGTAGTGGAAGGAAGGCGGGGTAGGGGTCGGCCTAGGAAAGGTTGGAGGGAGGGGGTAAGGGAGGTTTTGTGTGCGAGGGGCTTGGACTTCCAGCAGGCATGCGTGAGCGTGTTTGATAGGAGTGAATGGAGACAAATGGTTTTTAATACTTGACGTGCTGTTGGAGTGTGAGCAAAGTAACATTTATGAAGGGGTTCAGGGAAACCGGCAGGCCGGACTCGAGTCCTGGAGATGGGAAGTACAGTGCCTGCACTCTGAAGGAGGGGTGTTAATGTTGCAGTTTAAAAACTGTAGTGTAAAGCACCCTTCTGGCAAGACAGTGATGGAGTGAATGATGGTGAAAGTTTTTCTTTTTCGGGCCACCCTGCCTTGGTGGGAATCGGCCAGTGTGATAATAAAAAAATAAAATATATGCTTCTAAGCTGTTGTATCTGGGTGCCTCTGCAAAAACAATGATTATGTATGAGTGAGGTGAAAGTGTTGAACGATGAAAGTATTTTCGTTTTGGGGATTTTTTTTCTTTTTTAGGTCACCCTGCCTAAGTGGGAGATGGCCGACTTGTTGAAAAAAAAGGTGTATTTATGCACCATGGGTCCCATTGTGACCACAAATGCAAGTTTTTGTAGATGACTCTCCGACCAGCATTGCTGTGATGAACTGTAGCTCAGGTCCCCTCAAAGCCATCGTCATGTCTAGAGTTCGTCACAGCCACATTGGCGGGATGTTCATCTGTAAACACTTGCATTTGTGGTCACAGTGCTAACCTTCCTATGGTGTATAAATATATCTAAATAGATGAATCTTCTTGTAGCCAGCTGGCCCAGTTGCTTATGTACTGGCCTGGAGTTTTGATTCACTTGCTGCGAGTTCAATCCCCACCTGTACCGTGGTTTGTTTAACATGCTCATTCGTGTTTTATCTTATGTTTGTCAGTATCATGTGAGCTTTTCTAATAATTTTTGAATGGTTAATGACTTGGGATTTACTTTTATTCTGCCTACTTAACTGCTACATTATTAGTTTACATATTTACTTCTGACAATACACAGAAATTAGCTTTTTTTATTCCACCTTATTCAAAAAGTAATAATTTTCAAAGTGGTGTAAAATATAGTTCAAGCCCCTTTTACTTTCATTAAAATAACAGTAATACTTATACTTTACATGGACATTTTTTCCTGTACATGCTTTACTTCTGTGCTATCTTTAGTCATTTTGGTTCCTACTTGTGTGGTACTTCTTCATCCTGAATGTTGCAACTTTACATATTGAATGGGTACAGTTCTTTTTCTGGACTTGTTTATTCCCTCTAGTACATTAAATAATGTTTGCTATCTTCCAGTTGCCTGT